GGTACAACGACCTACAACCGTTTGTGACCCACTACTAGTGGTACAACGACCTACAACTGTGACCCATCACTAGTGGTACAACGACCTACAACTGTTTGTGACCCATTACTAGTGGTACAACGAGCTACAACTGCTCGAAAAATTACACGACATGATCATTCGCCAACAAGAATTTCATTGCTATCACTTTGCCGACTACGCTATTGCTACTGACTCTCCCATCAGGTAAGACTGCCAAGATCTCAACTCATGCAAATTGACACCAATCTAGTACTTGAGAACAATCTCCACTTATAACTCACTCATCATAATCTAGAGCAGCTCACGTTTATCTCCTGGAATATATACGGCCTCATCAGTTGTTTCAACAAGAACCGTTTGTGAGAGGCACCAGTTTCACACCCCAAAGCTTCTTTCTAGATATGTAATGTACTTCTCACCCATATAAAGTAGCCTTATAATCTACACCAAATAGTCCCTACACCACAAACTGGTCAGAACGAGCAGCAACGAGGTCACCCAATATCAACTCCTACTGACAAACCATGAAACCTGAACATCTCCCAAACCTCACTGATAAGTCAATACGACACATGGGCGATTTCAGCGCTCGTCATCCTGATCTTCATGACCCCTGTTTAGTACACTTCGTCGACTGCTACGGCATTATTAACCACACTCCACAAGGCCCAAGATGGGACGCTTGACCATGTATGAAGTGTTGGTTCTATCAGTAACAGTCTAGAGGCAAGCCTTGTGCCTCATCCCATCTCAGATCACATCGCAATCGCCGTTTGTACTGGGTCCCCATAGTGGCCACATTCCCCAGACATTGGCCATGTTATCTTGTGCCTGATCAATATGCAAAAACGTTCGTCAGATATATGACAGCATGGTATAATTCATACAAGCCACAGTCTGTCATACAGTTCATTGATGACTTGACGGACACCATTAACCAATTTTATTCCCGATTTGTATCCCGAGACCACCTAAAACAAAAAGCTCGACCAAGAACCCCCTGGGTCCTGGACAACAGCATACGTGAAGTTAGAATTATAGTGGATGCCGAGGCGTCATGTCACAGACGGGACCCCCACACAAGGTTCTTTAGATGAATACCTTGCCTCTGTCCAGGATTTGAGATATATCCAGGATTGCGCCCACTAAGATCATTGGAACCGATTTGTCTCAAGCATTAATCACTCTACCTCTACTGCTGACATCTGGAAAGAAATCAACAAAATTACAAAAAATAAAGAAGCCACTCCCCTCCACCTCAGTCCCCGGGAATATGCTGAAGAGCTAATGAAATCCTGGGTTGCCTAATCTCGAGTCACGGCACTACCCATAAGAACACAAACCTACCTTCAAGTGACCTTCATAGAGCGAGGATTTGCACTAGAAATCACCTGTGCTGAACGACATCCAGATAACAACTACTTCATTAGAGCTGAGGAGCTGCAAGAAGCCCTTCTCGGAGGGAAGGCTACAGTGCCAGGAGAAGATGGCATTCCCTATCGAACCCTTCGTTATTTCCTAAAGGTCTTCGGGAAACCCCTTCTTCATCTGTACACCATGAGTCTTGATCAGGGTGTACTCCCTGGATCACCAACACTACTATCCTTAAACCAAAGCCTCACACGACAAAATTTCGGCCAACTTCTCTTACCTCCTGTATGGTTCTTGAACGAATACTCTTGACCCGCCTCTTCTACAACATCTCGGACCATCTTTCTCCTAACCTATGTGGATTTATGTCGCGCCGATCCACACAACTGTTTCGCAGAATTCATGGCAACCACCTTGCCCCGAGAGCTGTATCACCTTCATTGACCTTAAGGCAACGTTTGATGTCGCGAACCGAAGCCTGATTCTAGATAAACTTATCACCTTCGGCATCACCGGTAAACTTCTCACCTGGATACGGGGTCACATGGAGAATCTCCGGTATCGGGGACTCTTCAAGGGCGCCTTCGGCTACTTTGAGGCCTTTGTTCTTGGCACTTCTAGGGGCAGGGTACTCAGCCCCTACTGTTTAACGTCTTCGTGCATCGTCTTATAGATCCCTGATATAGACAGAACGGACTGCCAACTATGTTGACATCTGCTTGCAGGTAGCCTCACCTCAACGCCTACAACAGTTCATCACCGCCTTTCAAAAATCTGCCCATCTGTGCTGCCTCATAATATCCGCTGAGAAAACGAAAATCTACCTCGCTACTCCACGCCAATTACCCCAACCCATTTCCCTCAACGGCATTGACCTCGAGGTCTGTCAGCAATACCAGTACCGAGGTGCTCAATAAACCTCCTCTGTACTACCCCTCGAGGCACGGTTCACCCCCTGGGTTCACTTTCTCTCTAACCGTATCAAAGAGTGGATAAAACAGTTAAAGTGGATCACTAACAGGTGTGTCGGATCCCATAGCCAAAACTGTTTATACTGCCTATATACCGTTGCTCATAGACTATCACGCTCTCATTCTGGCTCACTATCAGCCACCGTCTTATCACCTCTTGAAAAGTTGCAGAATGTAGCAATGCGACTCATCCTAGGCTGTCTAATGACAACCCAGATAATGAGCATTTTGAAAGAGCTGGGTCTAATCAGTATCCAAGACAGATCGAAAATATTAGTCACCACATTTTGAGTCAAATCCTTCACGTCTCTCCCACCTTCAGTGACCACCTCTGTAATACCCTTCGAAACCCGCCGGACAAGGCAAGAAGAGGATATTAAATTCTACTCCAGAACTTTTTTGATGTGTTCTTAGCAGGGGTGGATCAAATACAATTGTATTTGTATTTTAATTGTATTTAAATACATTTTCAATGTATTTGTATTTGTAATTGCATTTTGTCACCCAGAAGAAAAAGTATTTTGTATTTGTATTTGTATTTCGACACTTGTTAGTGTTACAGGCAGTAGGCTAGTTTAAGGCTACTGCCTTTTGCCTCTTCCATAAACAAAGGAAAATTTGATATTTTGTATTGCTACTTACAGACAATTTGTGAGGACGAAAACACTTGAATTTGTTTTATTTTTGTAATTTTGTTTATTTCTATTACTGCTCTTGTTATCTGCAAGCAGTAACGTTGAACATTCTGGTAATTTTTACACTCCTGAAGGAGCTAAGTTGAGCCCAGAAATCTTCCGGGCATTAATGATGATAAAATGTAATTCTGATATGTAGGTATTGGGTTTGTATTTTTGAACTTGGAAATAAAAGTATTTGTATTTGTATTTTTACATCTTAATTTCAGAAGTATTTGTATTTATATTTGTATTTTTGAATTAAGGAATAAAAGTATTTGTATTTGTATTGGACAGCTAAAAATCAGTATTTGATCCAACCCTGGTTCTTAGATCTCAACATTCACAATCCTCAGATACATGACGGGCGAGCGCCGTCCCTACACTACACTACACTTATACGGCCTATTCCGGGATGACGTGTGTCGCTGAAGCAATGAGTCGCCTTCCTGATTGGGCGAGCACAACAAGGTATGAATTACAGAGCATCCTGGGTGCCATCAACACGACTATGTAAACAATCTCGCAAAATACGCCTGCACACTCCCCATCTCTGATGACGCTTCAACCATAATTCCTGGTCGAGTCAAGACATTCCTCAAGAAAGTAGCTCTTCATAACATAAACGAAGAACGAGAACGAAGTGAATAACAAGGTGCCACTATTAGTGTTCGCCACTATGATAAACAGTGTGACACAAAATATCAATATAGTCAGTGATGTACAGCAGTTGCCACCAGAATCAGACTTCGCTATAGAAAATAGAAAACACAACCTTCGGCATTACATCTTAGAGTGCAGACCAATTTGATCCTCGTTGCCACCTAACAAAACCTTTGACGAACTCTGTAAATTCATCCTAACTACCAATGTCATGGACACTATTTTACTGTTACACCCCCCCCCCAAGAAAAATTACCATATAAATTACCTGTTCTCGAAAACAATTGCTTCACTCACTTGTCTTACCGCACTCTATGAGGTGCGCGTCCCACTGTCTCATTACTAACACTCACTAGCAGTCAACTTTGATTAAAATTTGGGGTGCAGTCTGTGTTATTCAGTTTGACTGTGTATATAGGACTGCCATCCCTATGCAAATAAGGACATAAAAACTAAAAACTAAACTTGTGACTATGACTTTTATATACAATATAAACAACAGTGGTCCAAGAACTGAGTCTTGTAGGACACCGCACAAAATTGACAGAAAAGATGTGATTATTTGGTTACTTAAACCTCACACGCCATAAAGTTCTCGCTTTGACAGTAAGATGGTATGATCAACAAACCAAAAGGTTTTGAAAGATCTCAGAATACTCCAACTATGCACTGAATGTCCTCAGCGGAACGTAAATCCGTTAGTGAAAGGTAGCAAGGAATTATAGGTGGACTCTTTGCTCAAAACTAAACTGAAAATTTATAATGATAGTGTTCTTACTACGAAAAATTCTGATTAACTACATTACCGTTTTTTTATTACCGTACATTAGGCTGACAATGCTTGGGCCGCTTCCTTAATCTATTTCCTTACCTGTGTCAAGAGTATGTATTATAATTATCATAGTGCTCAAGGATATTTACTACAAGGTACAATCAAACATTAGTGATACAACCACAAAATGATACGCAACAACCACCAGTTTCATATATTTATATCCGTTACTGTAAGAGAGGTTTCTAGGATTAAGAAATCCTCCCAGGAGGATGAAACAGTTTAAGAGAACCTGGGAGAGAAGTTCTTCCCAGAAGAGCTATAGAGCCTGAGAGTGAGGCTTCTCCCAGAAGAGTTAGAGAGCCTGGGAAAGAAGTTCCACCCAGAAGTGTGAGAGAACCCGGGAGAGAAGTTCCTCCCAGAAAAGCTAGAGAACCTGGGAGAGACGTTCATCCCAGAAGAGTTAAAGAGCCTGGGAGAGAAGTTCCTCCCAGAAGAGTTTGACAACTTGGACGAGGGATGACATACGTGAGTAAGCGAGCGCGTGGGGGAGCCTGGGAGAGGAGTTCCCCCGAGGGGTGTACGAATGCTCTCTGGCAGCATCTCTAGCAGGGTGGTGGAGTGAGGCTGGTAGCGCAGGATCAACACGCACGTCGACACCAGCGTGTAGGCCAGCAGCGTCCCTGTAACACACAGTGAATCAGTGTAAAGCTATGGTGGTATATATCTCGCCCAGGTAAACTAAATAGGTCATTGTCAAGGAACCAGATGGAATGAGTATTCTGTATTTCATAGCAGTCATCTTTGTTTATATGATAAACGTACTGATAAGAGAGGGTGAGACAGAACTGTAGGAGAGTGAGAAATGGAAGTACATTACACTAGGCAAAAAAATAAAAAAGATAGACATCCGAAACATGGTTCAGAGCAGCTTCATTTTGGTAATTTTGAGGTGCTGATTTCAAGTCTGACAATAAAAATTCTCTAGTACGTACAATTTATTTGTTATAAAAAATTACAAATACAAAAACGGAAAATTACTATTTTTCCTGTTATTTCTATTACCTTTTTTCCACGTCATCACAAAAAATTCAATAAAGAATGAAAGCAATCATAAGAAGACACAAAAGTATTAAATTAGCCACTGTATAGGCATTTGTTATTCTATTTCATCCTTTTATGTGTTGTATTGTCCTCCGATTGTAAACACCAGCAATAGTTCCCCATCATGGCAGGATCCCGGTACCTTTCCTCCATACGTCTAATATCCTGATGAAATCGCTCTCCCTGTTCATCACTAGCCGCTCCAGATTCTTAGGAAAAAGTTTAAGTGCGAGTGTAGGAGGTGGACTTTCAAGGACATCCTGCATCCTAAGTTTTTGTAGTTTTTTAAGAGTTCCTCTACAAGTTGGCAATAGTTTTCTTCCTTCTTGTTTTCAAGAAACCCCTTGACTACAGATGTGAAGGATTTCCATGCGACTAGCTCATTTTCTTTCAGTTTGTTTTCAAAGTCGTCATCACGAAGTAACTTTCTTATCTGTGGGCCAACAAAGATACACTCTTTGAATTTAGCATCACTGAGCTGTGGGAATTTTCCCCTAAAGTACACGAACCCATCACCTTGTTTGTCCATAGCCTTCACAAAATTATTCATTAGTCCCAGCTTGATGTGTAAAGGAGGTAGAAGTACATCGTTTGGGTCTACCAAGGGAGTATATTTAGTGTTGCTTTTTCCTGGAACAAACTGTTCTCTCTTTGGCCAGTCGTTTGTGTTGTAGTGTTTTTCTGTTGCTCTGCTGTCCCATAAACACAGAAAACAGCAATATTTCGTGAACCCTCCTTGAAGGCCGAGTAGAAGGGCTATAACCTCCAAATCACCGCACATCTGCCATCTATACCCCTTGTATTTAATAGCTGTTATTGCCACGCATAATTGTGAGCGCCGGCCACATGTTAAGTGAAGAGACTGTTTACAACTCAGATAGCTTACTAAGCGATATGGGGCTGGTAGCAGCTGTGTGACTACCCAAGGGGCAGACTATCGCCTTCTACTGTAGAGGCAACATCTCGATTCTCGTCGGCCAACATCTTCCTGCAGGACATTATATTTGTTATCGTTGGTCTCACCCTAAACCCGAAAACGTGAGTGTGATTGTGAACTGTCGAATCCTCTGAGAACTCTAAATAACATTACTAGGTGTATTTATGTACTGTATATTGATCATATTATTCAAACTGTGTGTCCTGATGTATCAGCAGTTATTATATGTGAAATGTATTCAAGAGGTTTTGACCGAATTATACTCATTGCGTCAACAACGAGGGTCTTATTGTTCTGCACAGCCACAATTGCTCTTATGAGCGATTACAGTCAAAACGTGGGATAGGACCATCGTGGGAGTTGCAGAGCATCACGTCATCGTATGGAGCGGTAGGAAGAGGATGTACTTTGTGTCAATATTGTTCGGACGATCGCGCTAGAGTGTTAGTGTTCATTGCGGATTGCCGCACTAGCAACCACGAGAACTGGTGTCAGCAAAGTCTGCCTCGGTGACAAAATTGTCCAGACAAGCGTGCGGGAGTGTTACCGTTCATTACGAACAGGCCACGAGGACCCGCGTCAGATATGGAGCGGCCTCAGTTTCAATAACATTTGTGCGAACACACGGGAGAGATAGTGATCAAAGCGTACAGCCAGACTAGATCACCAAGTTTAAGAAGGCTGGTGTGTATGTGTAAATAAGAAATAAGAACGAGTGAAGTGCTCTTTCTGTTAGAAAATAAAGGTTGTGACAGCTAAGTAACGTTGTGTAAGTAAGGGCGCCGCAGTAGTGTTAATGACATCAGTTGTGTAATGAGTCCCTACATTGACTGTGAGGTCTCTGTGGTCGTATTAGCGTGAAATCACTCGCGCGTATGGCACGTCATGTATTAGTGTGACATCACTCGTGCGTATGTCACGCGTCAATTTGACATCATCTTCACTTGTGTGAGTTCAGTGAACGTGGGGCGTTACCTTAAGTAGTAGCTGATACTGAAGCGTTACTGCATACATTCATCGAGCAAGACAGATCACGCTCACTGTTCTGACAGTCATGGACATGGAAAGGAACAAGTCAGAAGTGAAGACCGTGTCCGGTGTGGATCAAGGAGACACTGTCGACGTAGAAACCGACGTCTCACCCACGCTGCCAAGGCAGCATGAGATAAACCTGTCTCCCGAGAAGAGCAAGGAACCACCAGACAAAGGGATTGAAGGGCAATTATATGAGCAATACCAGCATATGCAGCAGATGTTCGCTCACATGACAGCGATGATGAAACTGACGAAGAAACGTAAATGAAGGCCCAAAAGGACGACCCGCCGAGGTCCAAGGGTTGGGTGAGAGAACTGTTAGAAAATATGAGGTTCTCCCAAAGGCCGACGCCGAAGTTCAGAGAAGGAACTTGCGGTGAATACTGGGAGTTCAAGGAGCCTTCCAGCGACACGTTGGGATGGCGCAGAATATATGCAGACTCACCCTCACGTCAATCCTCGTCGAGGAAGAAACTTGTGGGTCTGGTGACATCAGGAATAAAGACAACCAGAGAAACGGATGATGAACGCTGTTCTTTATGCTGCAGAGATCACCTTCAGATGTGCCGGACATTCCTCAGCATGTCCACAGGAAAGCGAACTTCACTCGTAAGGGAAGAGCGTCGCTGCTTCGCCTGCCTGGGTCGTAATCATCGGATAACGGAGTGCAGCCAGATGATATGTGATATAGATGGCTGCTCTGGAGTACACTCGAGGCTTCTGCACTTCACGGGAGTTTTGATGAGCGGTGTCAAGGCTCAACGGGGTGAAGTTAAAAGAGGAGAACACCAGACCAGTTTCCTAAGGGTGAAGAGGGCAATCACTGGGAGTGCTTACCAAATGGACATATCACCTGACCACAAGCGACCTAGAATGAGTCAACTTAAGGCCATTATGCCACCACCGGAATCGGCAACCAGTAGAGTTAAATCATGGAAGACCGAAGCCGGTACAAGCACCATGGGGAAAGGACTGGGAATACACAGAACGTGCTGGTGACCACGAATAGAGGAAATCAGCATAGATGGGTCAGGGAAACCATAACCAACAACGGAAGTGATGATCGGCGTGAAGAACCCAACGATTGCGAGTTGTAACTACAAGGGTCCAGAAGAAGAACCAAGAGGCGAGAGGAGCAGTGGTCACCAGAGCTCGCTTGGATTCAGGCAGCAAGCGATCATACTGCATGTGTAGCCTAGACAACCGGCTTCAGGCAGAAGGAATGCCAGTTCCCTCTCCATTGGCACGATCATGAAAGAAAGAAATAGTGTAAACACCGAAGAGATCAGTCTAAAAGTGGCTAGCGTTGGAAGAAGAAGGAGCCGATCCATCACTATCCCCAAGGTCATTGTTGTTGAGAATCTACCGTCTTTTCTGAGAGTGTCAGTCGCAGACACCCAAGACGTCACCATGTGGGAACACCTCCGAGGTACTGCGCTACGCCAAGCACCGAAAAGAATGGATCTCCTGATAGGTCTGGATGTACCACAAGCACTATCACCGTTAGAGGTAAGGACCGGGAAGGACGGAGAGCCGTTTGCAACACGCACCCTTCTAGGCTGGACTATACATGGACCGCTTGGAACGGTGATCCGTGATTATGCCGTTATCAAACACTTCATCAGAATGGTAACACCTAACTCGGAGACAAGTCTGGAAAAACAAGTCTGGGAATGCGACTCCGCCTACAGTAACTATGATCCCGTCTCTGTCGAAGACAAGAGAGTCCTGATGCAGTGGTCAACGTTAATTAACTCAAGTGGACGGACACTACCAACTTCCTATCTCGTTTCGCCATGAAGAACCGGGACTCCCAGACAATAAGAAGCTTGCCGAACAACGATTGGCGGGATTGAGATAACGCCTCCTGAAGAACCCAGGGCTCTCTCACAGGTATCAAGAAGAGATGAGACGTCTAATCGACGAGGGACATGTTGAGCGAGTCCCACGTCAAGAGCTTAGTGTTGTGCCCGGGAAGAACTGGTATCTCCCACACCACCCCGTGTTGAATCCTAGTAAGCCAGAAAAGGTGAGAATAGTTTTTTATTTGATTGTGCAGCCGTGTATGAGTCAGTGTCATTGAACAGCCAGGTGATGCAAGGGTGAGACCTAAACAACAAATTGATGGGAATCCTCATCAGATTCAGACAAGGAAAGGTGGCAGTCATGGCAGATATCGAAGCAATGTTCCACCAAGTGTGAATAGTACCCGAACATCGAGACATCTTACAATTCTTATGATGGACAGACTACCAGCGGTCAGGGGCCCCCACCATTTACCGAATGACAGTACATCTCTTTGGAGGTGTGTGGAGCCCTTCATGTGCCGGGTATGCGATACAACGAACATTCCAAGATTACGGGGAAAGTCTCCATGACGACATCAAAAAAGCGAATCGTATCTGCTTCTCTCAGTAGATTCGCCAGGAAAGGCAACGATAATTACCCATCGACTGAGACAGCTGATGAAGAAGGGCGGATTCAGACTTATGAAGTGGGTCTGTAATCACAAGGAAGTCCTCAAGGCAATTCCACAGACAGAGAAAGCTGTGGGAGTAAAGGAAGTAATTTTAAGAGACGACAGGATCCTCACTGAACGAGCGCTGGGAATCTTATGGTACCTGGAGAAAGACGAACTCGCGGTTCAGGTCCAGATCCCTAAGAAACCGGAGACGAAACGAGGCCTTCTGAGTATGGTCAGCTCCATATATGACCCACTGGGACTCATCGCTCTGAGCGTCATTAGAGCCAAAATCATATTCCAAGATGAGTGCAGACGAGGTGCTGGGAAGGATGAAAGAATGGCTGAACAGAACAGGGTGGCATGGCGAAGATGGCTAGATGAACTTCCTCACCTATCACGGGTATGCGTTCCACGGTGCTACCGACCCAAGGATGCAAATCCAATAGCTGCCGTGCAACTACACCACTTCTGCAACGCCTCCCAACAAGCTTATGGAGCTGTATCGTATCTGAGGACCACGTGTGAAGATGGAACCCATCATATCTCCTTCGTGTGTGGCAAGCCAAGCTAGCCCCTCTGAAACAGCAGACCATATTTCGACTCGAGCTCTGCGCGGCAGTATTGGCTGCTAAGGCAGACAAACAACAACGGCGAGAACTTGAATTACAAATAGACAGATCAGTGTTCTGGACAGACAGTACGGCAGTCCTTCAATACATACGAAACACCGAAAGACGCTTCCATTCCTTCTTGGCCACTCGAGTGGCAGCGATACACGAGGACTCCAATGCAGAGCAATGGCGCCACGTGAAGTCGGCACTGAACCCAGCCGACGACACTAGTCGTGGACTACATGGAACAGATTCAACGAGGAGGACAGGTGAATTCGGGAACCTGCTTTCCTCTTGTTGGAAGAAGACAGTTGGCCAAAGAGTCTAGTGATGATTCCAGACTTCACAGACGGAAACCCAGAGGTGAAGAAGGAAACCACGGTATTGACGACGAGCGCTGACCAGGGGGAGGGTATCCTCATAAGCTATGGGTCAGGTACTCCTCGTGGCATCGACTTTTGAAGAGCGTAGCGTGGATTAGAAGGTTTATAGAATGACGGCTTGGGAAGCGAAAGAACAAACATCACCGAGAAAATCGGTTCAAGGTCAGCGAATTGGAAGATGCGAAATTAGCCGTCCTAAGATTATGCAAAGGAAAGGATTCCCTCGAGAACTACGAATGTTACAATAGAGACAACCCGTGAGAGGTAGCGACGTGAGTCGGCTGGAACCTCATCTAGACACGCACGGTTTGATCAGAGTTGGCGGCTGACTGAAACATGCCGTTCTCCACGCAGACCAGAAGAATCCCATACTGTTGCCAAGGGACAACAGGATCACTGGGCTCATCGTGAGAGAGGTACACTCGACTAGAGCTGGACTCTCAGGACGAGAACACACTCTTGCCGCAATACGCGAGACTTACTGGATACCTAAGTGCCGCAAATTACTCGAACGCATAATACGGACGTGTGTGACTTGTCGGAGGAGCAACTGGAGGCCTCGCCATCAACGCCAAGCCGACCTGCCAGAAGATCGAGTGAGCCCAGGAGGCCGGCCTTTTACCTACAATGTACTTGATTGCTTTGGCCCTTTTGTGGTTAAAGAAGGCCGAGCCCGGGCGAAGAGATGGGGATGCTTGTTCATCTGCCTGACCACCAGAGCCGTACACCTAGAATTCCTCTCCTCACTAAACACCGACTCGTTCGTCAACGCCCTCACAAGATTCACCTGCCGCAGGGGACCTCTCAAGCGTATTCGGTCTGACAGGGGAACCAACATGATTGGCGCTAGCCGAGAGTTACGAGAGGCGGTGAGCGGCTGGAACAAGTGACAAGGACGGGAATGTCCTCCTATAGAAACAGATAGAATGGCAGTTCAATCCCCCGACAGCCTCTCATATAGGCGGGGTGTGGGAGCGACAAATCCGCATTGTATAGAAGCTCCTCCAGGGAGTGGTGGGCACCCAGACACTAGACGATGAATGACTCAACACTTTGTTTTGCGCCGTAGAAGAGATCGTCAACGGAAGGCCCATCACCCCAGTGTCTGATTACCCAAAGGATCTAGAAGCAATAACGCCGCTTCATATACTACGGATGAACCCGGAGACACTGCCCACCGGAGGCGATCGGTCCATGGCAGAAGCGTACCGACGATGATGGAAGCATATCCAATTCATCGCTGACCAATTTTGGAAGAGGTGGGTAAAGGAGTACCTCTCGACACTACGTCAGCGACAAATATTCTTCAAAACTCGCCGCAATATCCACGCTGGGGATATCGTGATCATCTCTGGACAACCCCTCCCCAGGAGTCAGTGAATGCTAGGGAGAGTACTGGAGGCACTACCGGGCGAAGATGGCCTCGTGCGAAGTGTTAAAGTGAAGATAAAGGACTCACGCCCGTATTACTAAACAACATCTTCCCTTGAAGGGAGTCGTCGTGTTTCAACCCTAGTTTTAAATAAAATGAGTCCTGAGGGACACTGCAGTACAGTACTTAACGGGGTGATGTGGCGGTAAAATTAACTAGTTCCAATATTATAAATTAATTTTATTGAAATTAGTTAATTTTACCATCACACCACCACGTTAAGTACTGTACTCCGGTTTCCCTCAGGACTCATTTTATTTAAAACTCGTGTTGAAACACGACGACCCTTTTCAAGGGAAGATGTTGTTTAATAATACGGGCATGGGTGTTAATATGCCCAGCGACGAGACTCTGCCTGTTGGAAGGGGTCGGAGAGAGTGAATCTAATGGAAGGCCGTGATTTTGAGCGAAGCCCGACAGGAGAGGTGTTATCGCCACGCACATTTGAGCGCGCCGGCCACATGTTAAGTGAAAGGACTGTTTACAACTCAGATAGCTTAGTAGGCGAGAGAGAGCTGGTAGCAGCTGTGTGACTACCCGAGACTATCGTCTTCTACTGTAGAGGCAACATATCGATTCTCGTCAGCCAACATCTTCCTGCAGGACATTATATTTGTTCTCGTTGGTCTAATCCTAGACCCGAAAACGTGAGTGTGATTGTGAGCTAATGAATCCTCTGAAAACTCTAAATAACTTTAATAAGTGTATTTATGTATTGTATATTGATTATATTATTCAAACTTTGTCTCCTGATGTATCAGCAGTTGTTATATGTGAAATGTATTCAACAGGTTTTGACCGAATTATACTCATCGCGTCAACGACGGGGGTCGTATTGTCCTGCACAGCCACAATTGCTCCTATGAGCGATTACAATGGCGGTCAGTATTTTTTCCATACTATCATACGTTTCCTCCAAACCTACAGAATGCGCTACTGGAACTGATGGCTTTTGGTTCCCATTATGCAACAATATTGCTTTCAAACTAAACTTGGGGGAATCTATGAAAAGCCGCCATTCCTTTGGGTCATGTTTTTCTCCCAACTCTGACATCAGTCCATCTACATCAGTACACACACAGAGTGAATCCTGCATACTGTAGAATGAAGATAATGTAATATTTATTTTCCTAAAAACAGAAATTCTTGTCTGTTTCACTAGCAAGTTTCATTGCTGCAGCCTTGATGCTAAAAGTTCCGCCTGCTGTTTTGACAGACGGAGATCACGTACAAGATCATTAAGTTCACTTTTTTCTATAAGATGTGGTTCACTGGAAGTCGGGTCAATGAAAGGAGGATCGTGGGATGATTCTGGGATTTCTTCGCCAATTTCCTCATCCGAAGTTGAGAGCTCTTCCAAATTAGCCGGTGGAGTAGGTATAGGGAGGCCTTCTCCGTGAGGAACGGGTCATATTGCCGAAGGTACATTTGGATACTCATTTTGGTGAATTTGGTGAATTAACACAGCCTCGGCGCTGTATCCCCTCCATTCTCTTGTTCAGTATTGCTAATCTTGCATTTAATATATCCCTACCAACACAAGTACGTATCTTATATTCCTACATTACATATACACATACTGTATATCATAAAAATGTTACGTGACTGACATTTTGTATTGCCATATTTGAAATCAGCACCCCAAAATTAATAAAATGCAGCATATATGATCCATGTTACCGAACACTTGTCAACTAGTGTTATCAAAAGACATAAATAGGATGGTTTAAAAATTAATACAAAAATGAAAGAGAGAAAATAAAGGAAGGCAATGGTGCGAAAGGTGATGAAAATAGTTGAGAGGCGAGGAGAGACTTACCGATGGACATCATCTCGACCAGTACGGTGAGGGAGATGAACATAGCGGCGAAGGCGGCGCCCAGACCGAATACCACAGTAGCCACCGCCGGGGTCCCCGTCACCACCCACACGTTGGCCAGGCTCCTGCAGGGTAACCATCACGCTAACACTGTGTAAACACATGCTTAACCACTCACCAATAAAAAAAAATCACCCAAGGACTCGGCTAAGTAACCATTCAACCACAAGAAATAACTGCCCAGTCTATTAACCACTCAACCAATAAATATAACAACTTCTTTAACTTAAGACATAAGTGTGATGGCCAGGGTGTTAGTGTGGTGGCCAAGGTGCAAGTATGGTGGCCAGGGTGTAAGTGTGGTGACGAGGGTATAAGTATGGTGTCCAGGGTGTAAGTGTGGTGGCCAGGGTGTAAGTGTAGTACCCAGGGCGTAAGTGTGCTGGTCATGGTGTAATTGTGATATCCAGGTTGCAAGTGTGGTAGCACGATTGTAAGTGTGGTGGCCAGAGTGTAAGTGTGGTGGCCAGGGTGTAAGAGTGATGGTTAGGGTGTAAGTGTGGTGGACAGGGTGTAAGTATAGTGGCCAAGGTGTAAGTGTGGTGGCCAGGGTGTAAGAGTGATAGTCAGGGTGTAAATGTGGTGGCCAGGGTGTAAGTGTAGTGGCTTTATAATTCCTTTGAACCCTAGTTGTGTGTGTGTTTGTGTGTGTGTTATGCACAGAGGGTGGTTTAATGCGTTTAGTCTGGCAGTATTAGGTTAGTGTTAAGGTGCAAGCACTGCTTGCGTCCTTTCGCTTTCAGCTACAACCACTGGCTAGCCCCTGTGGTAAACAGAGAAACGATCCTTGCATAAACATCCCCTGCCAGTACACAGCCTCTTCACCATCAAGACTCATGCTCTGCCCCCTCCTGGCAACAAACGGTAACTAGGTGCCTTGTGGGCCCAGACTAGAACAACAGGATATCTTGGAGCAGCAGTGGGCACCAAAGGGACGGCGCATAGGCCCACTGGCATGTGGACACGTCTTGGCCCCTACAAACCACTGCCCCTCTGCCTTGTGGATTAACCTTCGTAGGTATAAGGCTTCAGGAGTAAACCCTGAACAAAAAATCTGCTGTGGAGCCCCGCATCAAGAGGCATGCTGACAGAGCTCTAGTAAGACTCCAACGGCGGTATAGGCGAAAGAGGTGGCCAGCATGGGAACCCAGCAACTACATCAGAGGATGAAGGCAATGTAAGATGGACACTCTACTAAGGCGAAAACCAACAACTGGGCTATTGGCAGTCCATTGCAATTCTCCCTCTTTACAACTACTTGCACCACCGGATTAGGGAAAGGGAGAGCCAAGATATGTGGTTGCAGCATGTGCTCCTGCCTCACCACATAAATCAACTCACGTGCAGCCATTATTCAGCTTAGCACACTTTCTATCATCATCATCATTATCAAAACCCTATACCCCTAAAAGTCCTATAGCGAAAGACAAGTGACGACGGGGACAGGCAATGATGACTGCCAGGAGTCTACTCACAACTCTGCACATGGGCGGCACAGATAAGATGGTCGTTTATGCACTGTGATCTAGGCAGCAGTACAATCCGGTCCTGTCTGTGCGACTGAACAGCCCTTTTGAGGAGCCACTTTGCTCACCCCACATGGGGAGGGGGCTAGAAAAGGTGCCCTCAACAGTAAGGAAATCCTGATGCGGTCGAAAACATAATCACACACAGATCAAAACAAAAACAAACTATACAACCTCTTATGGTTGCTGCATGGAATATCAGAACCCTTCTGGTTAATGGCACAAATGAGCGTCCTGAAAGAAGTACCGCCCTTTTGGCAAAAGAGTTGTCTAGGTATAACATCGACATAACAGCCATTTACAGAGTTGGCTTTGCCATTCGCCAACCCATCTTACACAGGCTAATTGAAATGCCTGTTAGGATTAACGAACGCCTCATAACGCTCTGAGTCCCAATGAATCACTCACGTCATGCTTTCATCATTAGTTCATACACCCCAACACTGGATGTAGAAGATGACATCAAGGGGACCTTTTACGCCGACCTTGACAGAGTGATAACCTCTATCCCCAGAGAAGATAAGGTTCTGCTCCCTTGTGACTTCAATATCAGAGTTGGCAGTGATGCTGACATATGACAGGGAACCATAGGAAGAAACAGAGTGGGCAAGTGTAATCCAAACGGCCTACACCTCTTCAGCACGTGTGCTGAACATAACCTCGCTATCACCAACACCTTGTTTGGCAGGCCGATAACACCCACGATCCAAACATTGGTCTCTCATTGACTACATCCTTGTCAGAGAAAGAAATCGCTGAGATGTCCTTATTCCCTGAGCCATGCGTGGCTCAGACCACTGTGACACAGATCATCGGCTCGTCAGAGCAAAACTCCTCCTCCACGTCGCCATCCAAACGGTGGTAAAACAAGGATGTGTACTGGAACCAACTCTCTTTTCCATTCTTGACTACCTTCCTTACTCGTGCCAGTACTAATTTAGCCGGCGGGGTGGACATCCAGTGCCGGATGAAGGGACTTTTAAATATAAGATGACACCTGGCAGGAATAAAAGTGTCGGCCGCTTCCACCACTGAACTTCAGTATGCAGACGACCTCAACCTCGACGCTCACACTGATCACGACCTACAAGAGATCCTGAACACCTACGCAGATGCGTATGCACACTTCAGCCTTGAGGTGAATGCACATAAGACTCAGATTCTCTTCAACCTGCCCCTGGTTCAGCCACACCTCCACCATTCATCCAGCTTAACGGTACTACCCTCTCCGATGTTACCCACTTTCGGTATCTCGGCTCCCACCTGTCCACCACCGTGGACATCGACGAAGAGATTCAACATCGGATCAGATGTGCATCTTAAAACCTTTGGCAGACTCCGTAACCGTGTCTTCAGCTGCAGGGAATTGAAACTATCTACAAAGTTGCACGTGTATCAAGCAGTAGTCTTCCCCACCGTGCTATATGGCAGCGAGATATGGGTCACATACAGGAGGCACATCAAGGCACTTGAAAACTTTTACCAACACAGTCTATGCTTCATCCTTTGAGTTCACTGCGAAGACAAGAGGACAAATGCCAGTATTCTCGCTGACACAAGCTGTAGGAGCATCGACGCTACTATTATCAATGAACAACTGCACTGGACTGGCCATGTTACCAGCATGGAAGACAGCAGACTGCCAAAGCAGCTACTTTACAGTCACCTAACGAATGATAAACGTAACGCTGGCAAACAACGGAAAAGGTATAAGAATAGTCTTAAGACAAACCTGGAAATATGCCAAAGCGACCCCCTCACGTGGGAGACGATCACTTTGCACAGTAACGCAGGGAGGAGCACCACACGAGAAGGTGTCAATACTTTCCAGTTAGTCTGACTACATACGGCGATAGACGAGCGTCTGCATAAAAAAAACAACGCCGCCGCCGTGCGTGCCCCTCCCGCAATAGATGTAGCCCTCCACACGTGCAGTATCTGTGGACGGCCCTGCCGATCCCGTACAGGTCTCTCGAGTCACCTCAGATCCCACCAACGAAGGTGACATCCACAATAACTCATATCTTTGTATCGTAGCTGGATGATCGTCATACTCGATTCCAAGTGACAGCAAAGTAGTAGTAGTAGCAGTAGTAATAGTAGTAGTAGAAGTAGCTATAGCGAAGGAGGTGGGCGCCTCGAACTGGTTAACTACGTTACTGATAAGGGCAAATGGTTTCAGTCTCAATAAACAAGAATTTGCCGATTCCATTCCTCTAAGGTACGATAGGCCAGTAGAAGGTTTGCCCTCCCAATGCGTGTGTGGCTCTGCCTATGACGTCGATCACGCCATGGTGTGCAAGAAAGGGGGCTTCATATGCATGAGGCATGACGAAGTACGGGATCTCACAGCAAATACGTTGAAGGAAATCTGTCGTGATATCAGGGTAGAACCGACCCTCCTTCCATTCGACTGTGAGAATTTCCAACCTAGGACTTCAAACACATCCAACGAAGCCCGTGTTGACGTCATTGCTCGAGGATTCTGGACAGTGAGCCTTCTTTGACGTCAGGATTTTTTATCCCATGGCCGCATGTCACTGTAAATTAGCTGTCGATGCTGCACACAGGAGGAACGAAAACGACAAGATAAGGGCATACGGGGAGAGAGTTCAGAACGTTGATTTAGGCAGCTTCATTCGTCTGGTGTTCACAAGGTCTGGTGGGTTGGGACCAAGTGAAAGATGCTTCTACGCCAGACTCGCGGAGATGCTATCCGAACAGAAGCAGCAGCCCAGAAGTTATGTCACAGCCTGGATGAGATGTCGACTGTCCTTCTCTCTCCTTAAGTCTGCTTTGCTCTGCCTTAGGGGAACGAGAGCATCGGCCCCCAAAGCTGACAACAGTTGCAGATACTGACTATGAGACAAAAATCACTGAATGCCGCATAGATCTGTCGCTCAACTACTCAACACAGCTAGGGTAGTTACTTATGTATTAGGATATTTAATTTTAATAAAATGGCGGCGAAGGTGTGGCTATTGGGGGAGGCTGGAAGCCACGTAGTAGTAGTAGTAGTAGCGTGTGTGTGTTTATGTTCATGGATTTTACATTTCACTTAAATTATTTATGCCTTTGTACCTAAGTAGGAGGACCTTTTATATATAAATTAGGTTTTCTTAATAGCAAATAAATCATAAATTCATGGTTTCCTATTTTAAATATGCAGTATATAATGTATATATTGTGTATTATCACATGCACACTTTCACGTGATACCTACATCGTAGTACCATTCATAAACTAACTCATTAGTATTAACTGTATTTTTCATTCATTTGGTATTATGAATTTAGGAAAGGAAATGCTGTACTTTTTTATGAAAGTTAGTTTGAATATGCAACCAACAATTTAGTTCCCTACATTCCCCAGCTAATTGTCTCACTTAAATATAAGTCCGTCCTTGGCCATGGCATAGACGATCCTGGGCAGGGAGAACATGGAGCCGAACATGGAGACTGTGAGGCCGGCCAGGGCGCCCACTGCTACCAAGTTTTTACACTTGTGAGCGCCGACCGTCGCGAACACCTCCACCAGCGCTGCATCCGGGTCAATCTGTTCGTAGGGTACTGCGAGCCGCCACCACGTCCACAACAGGGGATAAACATATATATATATATATATATATATATATATATATATATATATATATATATATATATATATATATATATATATATATAAGTAAAAATTACTGTTGCTCAGACTTATTATCAAGTAAAAAAGCTCTTAATTAATAAGCATAATGGGTTGCAAATAATTCGAGGAGGTTGGGAAATAAGGCAACTAACATAGACATTGCGGTGCCCGAATGGATATGTTAGGCTCAAAGAACGAATTCGTTCACTAAACGAAAAAACGACCACAACGCATTGTGTACACAGAAAAATAACCAGGAAACGTAATTTCGCTACAGGTTAGGTTAGGTTAGGGGAATTTCGAGACCACCCAGAAAGCCTTCTGGTTATTTTGCTGTGTCCACAACGCGATGTATTCTTTTTTTTTCACTCAATGAGCGAATTCGTTCTTTGAACCTAATAGATACATCATCCATATCCTACATTTACGGTCGTTGGGTTGCGACCAGGGCGACCTCAGTTCACCCGCCTGTGAATGATTACCTGTATTTACAGCTGGAGAAAAATTAAAGTGATCGATTGCCTTGCTAGCCACGGTACCGCTATGTGGACCGAAAGAAGGGTAAGCTTGCCGTGTGCTGTATCCACAACCCCCTTAAGAGGTCGTCAGACATACCGAAATATTAAATTAGTAACGGTTGCACATGAAAGCTGCTATCATAAAAGGGTTACACAAAAATATAAAGCAAAAATTACATATTAAAAGAGGAATATACTGAGGTGAAACTACAGCTCGAAAGATATTTATATCAACATTCAAAAACATTCTTTAGTCATTCAAACCAGGAAAATTCAGGTTTTATTATCACTGGCTCTTACGTTATTTTCACTTTGCTGACGACATATTCCTTTTATTTTAAACTAAATAAAGTTGCAAACACGAATTAAAGAGGTAAAGGAAACAAGCAGAACTATTGCTGAAAAAGTTTACAGACTCCCAACATATACAGTAAATATCAACACTTGACAACAAGATTTACCTACCTAGTTTACGTATTGTCCACCCCAACTAGAGGAGAAGGAGGCAAGTGCTCGTGTAGGATCCACCCCACTGTTTTTGATAGACTCCTCAAGAGCTATTTTAAAACCCGGTAATTTTTCTCTTCCACAGTTTGTGCTGGTAAATTGTTCCATTGCTTTACCACACCTCTGTGTGAAGAATTACTTAATTCGTCCTACATGACACCTTGGCGAACATGATAGCCCCAGAAGGTGACTATAAGGAGGGAACAACAAGAGGTGGAAATGATAACCCCCCATTGTAACTATGGGGAGGGAACAATAAAAGGAGATGATATCCCCCAGGGTAAGTATAAGGAGGGAACAATAGACGGAGATGATAATCCCAGGGGTAACTATAAGGAGGGAACAGTAAAGGTTAGAGGTGATAATCCCCAGGGTGACTATTGTTACGACTGTGTCGTATTTTTCTATTTTTTTTTTTTATATACCATACTTCCATGTTCCATATTATTCCTGTAATGACGTGTTGTATTTACTATTATATAATCTAGTCACCTTACCATGTGCTGTTAACGTTTTAACTGTTATTATTTGTTCAAACTCATTTTGTATTGTAACCAGTATTCTTTGTTCTCTAACGACCATTTGCATCGTTAAACGACCCACCGGCGGGTTGCGTGGCGGGAACCGACCTTATATATAGGGCCCACCAACTGACGGAGTCAGTTCAGTCCTCTTGTCATACAGTCCACACCCTTTGAGTGACACTCGTCACCTGTTACTTATACTTAATTTCTTTGTGTTGTTCCTGTCGCCACCAATGTGGTATATCTATGTGAGTACCTATTTATGTCTCTATTTATGGCCATCAGTATTTGCTTAGATACATTTAAGTAATTCAATGTTGTTTCACGTTAGTTAATTTCAGTGTTAGTATTTATATGTTTATGCAGTGTTAACGTAATCCAATGCTTTATTTTTATTCTTTTGATGTTTCGATGTTTAGTATCACTTGTGTCTTAAAAGTTTCGATGGTGAATCAATTTGTTGTGACAGCCTACGAGGCTCTTTATTGTGTTAATATTTAATTAATTAAATTCTTAAAGGTTTACTTTATCTATTTTTATTCCCTTTTAATTTACTTAACATTTTTGTTTGGTTACGCCTAGAACCTGGATATTTAAGTAAATTAAGAGACGGCGTAACACTATGAAGAGGGAACAATAAAAGCAGATGATAACCCCGAGGGTGACTATAAGGAGGGAAGAACAAGATGTGGAGATGATAAAGAGGAACAACAAAGGATGGAGATAATAACCCCCCATTGTAACTATGGGGAGGGAAGCAGATGATAAACCCCAGGGTGACTATAACTAGGGAACAGCAAAGGACGGAAATAATAACCCCCAGGGTGACTATAAGGAGGGAACAATAGACGGATAGGATAATCCTCAGGGTGACTATAAGGAGGGAACAAAGGATGGAGATGATAACCCCCCAGGGTGACTATAAGGAGGGAACAACAAGGGACGGAGATAATAACCCCCAGGGTGACTATAAGGAGGGAACAATAGACGGAGATGATAACCCCCAGGGTGACTATAAGGAGGGAACAATAGACGGATATGATAACCCCCAGGGTGACAATAAGGAGGGAACAACAAAGGAAGGAGATGATAACCCCTAGGATGACAATAAGGAGGGAACAACAAAGGACGGATATGATAATCCCCAGGGTGACAATAAGGAGGAACAACAAAGGAAGGAGATGATAACCCCTAGGATGACAATAAGGAGGAACAACAAAGGACGGATATGATAATCCCCAGGGTGACAATAAGGAGGAACTTTGACGGAGATGATAACCCCAGTGACTATAAGGAGGGAACAACAAAGGAAGGAGATGACAACCCCAGGGTGACTATAAGGAGGAACTATTGACGGAGATGATAACCCCAGGGTGACTATAAGGAGGGAACTATTGACGGAGATGATAACCCCCAGGGTGACTATAAGGAGGGAACAAAGGGCGGAGATGATAACCCCCAGGGTGACAATAAGGAGGGAACAACAAAGGAAGGAGATGATAACCCTAGGATGACAATAAGGAGGGAACAACAAAGGACGGATATGATGATCCCCAGGGTGACAATAAGGAGGAACTTTTGACAGAGATGATAACCCCAGGATGACTATAAGGAGGGAACAACAAAGGAAGGAGATGACAACCCCCAGGGTGACTATAAGGAGAACTAAGAGGAACTGATATGATGGAGATGTGACAACCCCAGGGTGACTATAAGGAGGGAACAACAAAGGACGGAGATGATAACCCCCAGGGTGACTATAAGGAGGGAACAACAAAGGACGGAAATGATAACCCCACAGGGTGACTATAAGGAGGGAACAACAAAGGACGGAGATGATAACCCCCAGGGTGACTATAAGGAGGGAACAACAAAGGACGGAGATGATAACCCCCAGGGTGACTATAAGGAGGGAACAACAAAGGACGGAGATGATAACCCCCAGGGTGACTATAAGGAAGGAACAAAAAGAGGTGGAGATGATAACCCCCAAGGTGACTATACGGAGGGAACTGTAGACGGAGATGATAACCTTCTGGGTGACTATAAGGAGGGAACAACAAGAGTCGATGATAACCTTGCCCACACGTTTCCATGTATACTGAATATAAGGCATAATTGATATATTAGGTAACTCATAGGAAGCTTCCTGGATAGCCAAAAACTGTGTGACCTCTCGTTGTCACATACCACCGAGCGAATTAACTCTTTGTTGATGAATACTATCCGTAGGAGAAGGTAACATTAGGTTAGGGAAGCTCACCCATAAGTGTGAGGATGGCAGAGGAGCTGACATAGGCGATGAGGATGATGACGAGGGATATAACGATGGAGTACGGGATGGAGCGTCGTGCGTTCACTGCCTCCTCCCCCGTTGTGGCGATGATGTCGAACCCAATGAAGGCATAGAAGCAGGTGGCAGCCCCTGTCAGTACCTGTGGGAGAAGACCTATAGTAAGATATTGTGGTGTATATGTGGTGATATATTGTGGTGTGTGAGGTGAGGCATGGTGATGTGTGTTTGTCTATTTGTGGTGAATTATAGTGTTGTTTATGTGGTGATTTTTTATTATATTTTGCTCCTTACAGTGGCTAGTTTATTGTGCACACCACAATCTCCACTCGTAGGGCTGCTGGTGTGTTATCCAGGTTGGATGTGAGTAAGGCGCATCGACCGGATGGAATGGTCACCCTTCTTCGGGATGGGTTGAACTGAGGCACGCTCCCAAGAAGGAAAAATTTTGGTTTTGAGGCAAAGGTGAAAAAGGCGAGCAAGCACAGGAGCCAGAACTTCAGCAAACTTCTTCAGAACACGAGCCCGGCATGCCCCGGCATCATGCACACATGATTACAACGCTCCAACAAGACCCCAACGGCGGTATAGGCGGAAGAGGTGACTACCATGGGAACCCAACTACTACACCGGCGGACGAAGGCAATACCTGATGGACAGGCTACTAAGGCAAAACCCAACAAACTGGGCTTCCGGCAGTCCATTGCAACTCTCCCTCTCCCCAGTCGTTGCAACACTTGAACCATTGGATTAGGAAAAAGGGAGAGCGAAGATGTGTGGTTGCAGCCTGCGTTCCTGCCTCACCACATGAATCAACTCACGAGCAGCCATCATCCAGTTCATCATACTTCTCAACATCATCAAAACACCTATACTCCCAAAAGTCTTATGGCGACGGACGAGTAGCGATGGGAACAGGAAGAGATGACTGCCGGGAGTCTCTAGCCACAACTCTGCATATATAAGATGGTCGTTCATGCACTGGGATCTGGACAGCAGAGCAATCCGGTCCTGTCTGTGCCACTGAGCAGCCCTTTCGAAGAGCAATTCTGCTCACCCCACATGGGGAGGGGGCTAGAAAAGCCCTAAACATAGCCTGCCTAAAAAAACAACCTGACTGGGAACCTCACCCTATAAGGTCATCCTTATGCGGTCGAAAACATTCAAAATCACAGATGCAATCAAAAACAAACTATACAACCTCGTATGGTCGCTGCATGGAATGTCAGGACCCTTCTGCAGACTGGCACAAATGAACATCCTGAAAGAATAACCGCCCTTATGGCTAGGTATAACGTCGACATAGTAGCTATTAGTGAGTCCCGTCTCCCATGCTAGGGTCAACTCACAGAAAACGGGTCTGACTATGCCTTCTTCTGGAAGGGTAAGCCTGCTGCGGAGAGAATCCGCATTTATAGAGTTGGCTCTGCCATCTGCCAACGCATCCTACACAGACTAACTGAAATGCCTATTGGAATCAACGAGCACCTCATGACGCTCCGAGTGCCACTGAATCACTCATGTCATGCCTTTTTCATCAGTGCATATGCCCAAACACTGGATGCAGAGGATGACATCAAGGAAACCTTGTATGCTGACTAGGGTTTCCTGTTTTGGGGGTTTCTTAGCGTCCCGGGATTCTGGGACAAACCAGGATATTTCCTGGGATCCCAGGATTTCCCGCATCAGGTGATATTTGTACTAACTAATGATATATGCTAACCCTATACTTCATAGTGTAGTATCTGTAGATTATTTGATAGGCAATTTATTTGATAAACTATATTACACTAAGGCAAAGTTCTCATTATTAACTTGCATACTGGTGTAAAAATAGGTACATAATATGATTAAACAAGCAAAATTTTAATTAATCTCATTCCGTTAGCCAAACAAGAAACTCAGACATTTGGAATGGCATTCAAATTTAGCTATTATAAAAAATAAGAATTCTATATTTAATGCCATTTGGAAGTCACATTCTACAAAAACCATAAGCGAACACTTGAATGACCTGTGAAAAAAATAATAGCATAATAGCATTTTGGCATCGTATACAGACAGATTACTCGACAGTCAACACACCTCTGCACTCTGCAGGGAGATAAACACGAGTAAGGCCAGTACCCAAGCAAGACGGGGTGAAGGCCAGAAGTGTACAGGAACAGTACGTGTCACTTCTGTTAGACTCGCTCTAGCCCCCCCTCTCTCTCTCTCTCTCTCTCTCTTTCATGCGTTTTTGTATTTTACATAGTGCAAATAAGAGATAAGGAATAACAATAAGAATTCCGGGATTTGAACCAAATTCCCGGGAAAAAAAACATAACCACTTACGCCCGGGAAGGAAACCCTAATGCAGACCTCGACAGAGGTGACTTCAATGCCAGAGTTGGCAGAGATGCTGACATCTGGCAGGGAACCATAGGGAGAAATGGATTAGGCAAGTGTAATTCCAACGGTCTACTACTCCTAAGCACGTGTGCACACAACCTCACTTTTACCAACACCTTGTTTAGGCAGCCCGACAATTTCATGGGTTCGTGGCAACACCCATAATCCAAACACTAGCATCTCATTGACTACATCATTATCAGAGAAAGAGACCGCCGAGATGTCCTCATCACCCGTGCCATGCGTGGCTCAGCCCACTGTGACGTTGATCAACGGCTCGTCAGAATCAAGGTCTCACTACACGTCGCCCCAAAACGGCGAAGACAACAAGCCTCTGGAAGAGGTTTTAACACTAAGCGTCTGGAGAATCCAGCGATAGCACATGCTTTCGGAGAGCAGCTCGAACATGGGCTGATAAACAACCCAAACCCAAGTGGGATATTCTCGACACTGTCATGACAAAAACTTGCAGAGAGACCCTCGGACAGATCGAAAGAATACCTCAGGATGTGGTTTGATGAAAATGACCCGGCAATCAATGTACTCGTCAATGATAAACGTGCTGCTTTAACTGACTGGCAGAACAATCCTGAGTCTCGGACTAAAGCTGAAACCTTCCTCAAGAAGAAAGCAGAGGCCCAGCGTGAACTTCGCAATCTAAAGAACGATTGGTTTAAAAATAAAGCATGTGAAACACAAGAAAAAACTGCAGATCAGCAAAAGATGTGCGACTTTTTTATTTCCACTAAAACGTTTTATGGGTCAATCACTCGTGGCGCAGACCCCCTCCGCTCATCCGATGTTAACTCCATAATTAAAGACGATGAAGGTCTCCTTCAGTGCTGGAAAAAGCACTACCATACACTGCTCAACCGAAACACCGCTTTGGCCACCCTGACTACCCAACAGGTTCCTCAGCATCCACAGCTGACCCACCTCAGCTATCCTCCATCCCTGGATGAGGTGCCTACTGCGATCAAACAGATGAAAAATAACAAATCCTCAGGGCCTGACGGAATCCCAGCCGAGGTGTATAAAGCAGGAGGACCTCTGTTTACCAGCCGTCTCCACTCTCTCCTGGAGAATATAGGGGAAAAGGAGGAAATCCCGCAACCTTTTACGACGCCTCCATCGCCAATATTTATAAGAACAAGGGAGACCGGTCAGACTGTAGCAACTACCACGGGATCTCACTGCTGTCTGTAGCTGGCAAGATTATCGCCCGAGTCCTTCTAAACAGACTTATTCCTGAGGCGGAAAACTTCCTCCCAGAATTTCAATGTGGCATTAGACCATCACGTGGCACGACTGACATGATCTTTGCTTTCCGTCAGATACAGGAAAAGTGCACAGAACAGCGTCGTGACCTATTCCCTATACATGGCTTTCATCGACCGAACCAAGGCCTTCGACTCAGTCAACAGAAGTGGTAAAGGATGATGTCAGGGCAGCAGTAGGGAACCTGCAAGTTTGGGCTGGCCACCAGGCTGGAGGGGAAGCCAGCCATTCACGCCATGACAACGATATTCGAGCAGCGTGATTGTGAGGCCGTTCTCCTGGTGGACACTTCAAACGCATACAACTTACTTAACCGCAAGGCCGCACTGCTCAACATCAAGATCAAGTGTCCAAGCTTTGCAATGTATGTTGAAAACACCTATAGGAATCGACCAAACCTCTATATAGTAAACACCAAGGCTCTAATAGGTGATACCATCATACAGTCAACGCAGGGGGACTCTACTGCAATGGCACTGTACGCAATAGGCCTATCCGTGCTCCAACACACAATAAAATTTGAAAAAACCGAGGTCAAGCAAGTTACGTATGCTGACGACCTTACAGGAGCCGGAAAAGTGGAGGACATCAAAAAGTGGTGGGACCTGGTAACATCACGTGGTCCACAAATAGGGTACCACCCAAGCGCCAGCAAGTCCTTCCTCATTGTGAAGCCAGAACATTATAAACGGGCAATGAAGGTGTTCGGTGGAAGTGAGGTCAAAATAACAAAGGATGGCCAAAGACACCTAGGCGTAGTAATCGACACGACAGACTTCAAGACCGAGTACGTAACGGGAAAGGTGAATAAGTGGGTTAGGAAAATCCAAGCTCTGTCTGAGATTGCTAACAGAGAGCCCCATGCGGCTTTTGCGGCATTCCATTCACCCATCGAGTCAAGCCTCGCTGGAACTACCTGATGCGCACTATCCCTGTTATCGGACCCCTCCTCCACCCTCTGGAGGAAGCTATCAGCGTCAATTTCATTCCCAAATTAGTGAAACACCTTCACTTAACCCCAGCAGAAAGATCACTCCATGCACTACCACCGAGACTGGGAGGAATGAGATTGACCAATCCAGAGGATATTGCTGTGCCCGAACATCAAAACTCAATTAAGCTCACGGCAGCCCTCACTGACCACATAATAGCTCAGAACGCAACAGGTGAGGTGGATACCAGTAAATTAAACAGGATTCGAAGGTCCATTACGACAGAACGACAGCACGGCTAAAGTGATAGTTTGCACCAACTGATGCTGCAAGTACCAGAGAATTTGAAAATTTACAGATGCCATTGCTCCAAGGTACGGTAGGCCACTGGAAGGTTTGCCCTCCCAATGCGTGTGTGGCTCTTCCTATGACGTCGATCACGCCATGGTGTGCAAGATAAGGGGGTTTCATGGCGGCGAAGGTGTGGCTATTGGGGGAGGATGGAGGCCACGTTTAAATAAAAATAGTAATAGTAGCAGTGCGAGGTGGTGAGGTGTAGTAGATGACTGTGGGGTGTAGCTGTAATGTGAGGTAGTGAGGTGTAGTAGATGGCTGTGGGGTGTAGCTCTAGTGTGAGGTAGTGAGGTACAGTAGATGACTGTGGGGTGTAGCTCTAGTGTAAGGTAGTGAGGTACAGTAGATGGCTGTGGGGTGTAGCTGTAGTGTGAGGTAGTGAGGTGTAGTAGATGACTGTGGGGTGTAGCTGTAGTGTGAGGTAGTGAGGTGTAGTAGATGACTGTGGGGTGTAGCTCTAGTGTGTAGGGTAGTAGATGATGTAGCAGGTAGTGAGGTGTAGTAGATGACTGTGGGGTGTAGCTCTGTGGTGTGAGGTACAGTAGATGATGTAGCTCTAGTGTGAGGTATGTACAGTAGATGTGTGGGGTGTAGCTCTAGTGTGAGGTAGTGAGGGTACAGTAAATGACTGTGGGGTGTAGCTGTAGTGTGGGTAGTGAGGTGTAGTAGATGACTGTGGGGTGTAGCTCTAGTGTGGGTAGTGAGTGCAGTAGATGACTGTGGGGTAGCTCTGGTGTAAGGTAGTGAGGTACAGTAGATGACTGTGGGGTGTAGCTCTGAGTGTGAGGTAGTGAGGTACAGTAGATGACTGTGGGGTGTAGCTCTGAGTGTGAGGTAGTGAGGTACAGTAAATGACTGTGGGGTGTAGCTGTAGTGTGAGGTAGTGAGGTGTAATGTAGATGACTGTGGGTGTAGCTCTAGTGTGAGGTACAGTAGATGACTGTGGTGTAGCTCTAGTGTGAGGTAGTGAGGTACAGTAAATGACTGTGGGTGTAGCTCTAGTGTAAGGTAGTGAGGTACAGTAGATGACTGTGGGGTGTAGCTCTAGTGTGAGGTAGGGAGGTGCAGTAGATGACTGTGGGGTGTAGCTCTAGTGTGAGGTAGTGAGGTACAGTAAATGACTGTGGGGTGTAGCTCTAGTGTGAGGCAGTGAGGTGCAGTAGATGACTGTGGGATGTAGCTCTGAGTGTGAGGTGAGGTGCAGTAGATGGCTGTGGGGTGTAGCTCTAGTGTGAGGCAGTGAGGTGCAGTAGATGGCTGTGGGGTGTAGCTCTGGTGTGAGGTAGTGAGGTGCAGTAGATGACTGTGGGGTGTAGCTCTAGTGTAAGGTAGTGAGGTACAGTAGATGACAGTGGGGTGTTGCTCTAGTGTGAGGTAGTGAGGTGTAGTAGATGGCTGTGGGGTGTAGCTCTAGTGTGAGGTAGTGAGGTACAGTAGATGACAGTGGGGTGTAGCTCTAGTGTGAGGTAGTGAGGTACAGTAGATGACAGTGGGGTGTAGCTCTAGTGGTATGTAATGAAGTATGATGTGGTGAGTTATATGAGCGTAAGAAGTACAGTAAGAAATAACAACTAAACCGTGGTGGTGGTGGCTGTGAGAGCGAAGTGGGTTGGTAGGGGTGGTGGAAGGTCAACGTCACTATCAACGATATGAAAAATTGTTCACTGAAATTTACACCCCGGAGACCTGAGTGGCTTCACGTGTAGGGCGGCACTGAGATATGAACCCTCT